AGTAAAAGTCTAAGAAAAAAAATAAACGAATTAAATGCTCTTGTCTGTACAGAAAAAATATATTATTGCACTTACCGAAACGTGAATGAATGTAGAAAATAGAGAACTATTAGCTGAATATCAAATAAATGGATTTAAACTATTTCACACAGATAGATATATTAGATGAGGAGGGGGAGTAGCCATATATGTTACGGAAAACTTGAAATGTAGTCTCAAAGAAGGAATCAAAACTGAGCCACATACAGAAACTATTTGGATAGAATTAAGCGAAAGAGCAAATAATCTTATAATATGAGTTATATACAGGCCACCAAACTTAAAAAGGATGGAAGCAAAGCCTCTATGGGATGAAATATCTAGAGCATCTAGGTCTAGCAGTATTTGAGCATGGGTGACTTTAATTTCAGTGGAATAAATTGGTCTAACAGAACAGGGAATAATGAAGCAGAATATTTTCTAGAATTAGTTGGAGATTGTTTTCTTAGCCTACACATTAAGGAACTAACGCGGGAAAAAAGTACTTTAGATTTAGTGTTAACAAACAGGGAAACACAAATTAATGACATCGAAATAGGGAGTGAGCTAGGGAGCAGTGATCACAAAGAAATCAGATTTAGCATAGAATGGAATAGACCTGTAGGAGAAAATTCTGTGAAAGTGCCAGATTTTCGAAAAGCTGATTTCAATAGCCTAAGATTTTTTTGGGGTCAAATAGATTGGAAATTCTTGGGCATAGGGGGTGGGCCGGTCTTGGAGCGAGACATGAACCCAGCGATAGGTGACGTAAAAGGGGATTTCGATGTGGATTCAAAATATAACATATTTAAGAATACTCTAAGCAAAGCACAGGAACGTAGTATACCATTCAAATTGAATAGATCGAATACTAATGACCCAAAGTGGATAACAAAGCATTTGAAGAACCTTATAGGTAAAAAAAGAGAGCGTGGTACAAAAGGATTAAGAATGGGGAAGTCAGTTTAGAACAGGAATTCGCACAACTGGTATAGAAATGTTAAAAAAGAGATAAGGAAAGCAAAAAGAAACTATAATCGACTTGAGAATGGTCCAGGACGGACCGAAACGTCGTCGTCCCCTCACCTTCTAGTGTGTAGTCTGGTCAACATACTTTAGCCACATTATTGTGACTCATCGCCTGCATAAGAAACTATGAAGTTCGCATAGCAGGGCCAGCGAAGACAAATCCTAAAGGTTTTTTTCAGTTATATCGAACTAAGACTAGGGAAAGGATAGGTCCATTAAAATTTGAGACAGGTCAAATAACGGATAATGACGAGGAGATGAGTAGTATTTTTAATAAATATTTTATATCTGTATATACTAAAGAGGAACTAACAATATGCCTTCAGCCGAACAAGTCTATGTGGGTGGGGACGAGGACAGGTTGACTAGTTTAGCAGTTACCAGGGAGGATGTTCTTAAACAAATAGTAAAACTCAAACCAAACAAATCCCCAGGGCCGGATGAAGTGTTTGCCAGGGTGCTTAAAGAATGCAAAGAGGAGCTTTGCGAGCCACTGTCTACCATATTTAATAAACCAATAGAGTCAGGCAGAGTGCCAGAGTCATGGAAGGTAGCTAATGTGGTACCAATTTTTAAGAAAGGAAATAGATCACTTGCGTCAAACTATCTGCCAATTAGCCTAACGTCTATTGTGGGAAAGCTACTTGAATCGATAATTGCAAATACAATTCGTCTCCATCTTGAAAAACATAAAATTAATTAATGAATTGTAACATGGTTTAAAAATGGCCGTTCATGTTTAACAAATTTGCTATCTTTTTATTCCAGCATAGTTGAGGCAGTTGATAGTGGTAAGGATTGTGATGTTGTGTACCTTGACTTTAGCAAAGCTTTTGATACAGTGCCACATGAAAGACTGATTAAAAAAATAGAGGCTCATGGTATTGGGGGTGCTATATTAAGTTGGATTAGGGCATGGCTATTCCAAAGGAAACAGAGTTAGTATAAATGGGGTTAAGTCAGATTGGAATAATGTTGTTAGTGGAGTGCCTCAAGGCTCTGTACTGGGACCTCTGTTGTTTATAATATATATAATTGATTTAGATTCAGGTTTGAGTAGCAACATTTGCAGATGATACAAAAGTCGGCAGGGAAATTATCACAAAAGAAGATTCACTATCACTTCATGTTGATCTAAATAGGGTTTTGAAATGGTCAAAAGATTGGCAGATGCAGTTTAATGCTGATAAATGTAAAGTTCTGAGGCTAGGTAATGATGAAAGAGTTACAAGATATGAGCTAGATGGTGTTGAGATTGCGAAGTCGGATTGTGAAAGGGATCTGGGAGTTATGATTAGTAAGAATTGAAAGCAAAAGGATCAATGCTTGAATGTTCGTAATAAGGCAAATAGGACACTGGGATTTATTAATTGAAGCGTTAGTAACAAGACACCTGGTGTGGTTCTTCAGCTATATCTTGCTCTGGTTAGGCCCCATTTAGATTATGCAGTTCAGTTTTGGTCGCCGTACTATAGAATGGATATAAATTCACTTGAACGTGTCCAGCGTAGGATGACTAAGTTAATTCCCCAAATTAGAAATCTTTCATATAAAGAAAGATTAACAAAGCTTAAATTGCATTCACTGGAAAGGCGAAGAGTTAGGGGTGACATGATAGAGGTTTACAAGTGGATGAATGGACATAACAAAGGGGGATATTAATAGGATATTAAAAGTATCAACACAAGACAGAACACGAAACAATGGGTATAAATTGGATAAGTTTAGATTTAGGAAAGACTTGGGTAAATACTGGTTCGGTAACAGGGTTGTTGATTTGTGGAACCAATTACCGCGTAACGTGGTGGAGGTGGGGTCCCTCGATTGTTTCAAGTGTGGGTTGGACATGTATATGTGTGGGATTGGGTGATTATAGATAGGAGCTGCCTCATATGGGCCAATAGGCCTTCTGCAGTTCTCATATTCAATTTATACCCATTGTTCCGTGTTCTGTCTTGTGTTTGTCATAAGTTTGTTCACCTCACCCAAAACTTTGTACCATATCACCTCACTCAAAATGAGTATAAGTTCGATGAATCTGTGTGTAAATTAAGTCTTTGAAAATGTAATAAGCATTACGAAACGCGTTCAGGCGTCAGACAATTAAAAAATGAATTTTGGAGAATTTATATTTTATTACCAACGACAGTGAAGAAAAACAAGAAATATTGAAAAAATTCGTGTTAGAATTTGTAATCTTACCTTTTCAGTCATATTCATCAACATATGTTTACAAGAAAGACTGCTACCAAAATATACTAATATATATATGTTGTACCTAGTAGCCAGAACGTCGTACTTGGCCTACTATGCAAGGCCCAATTTGCCTAATAAGCCAAGTTTTCCTGAATTTCAATATTTTTCTAATTTAGAAACAATTTATTGAAAATAAAGAAAATCACTCGGCCTATTAAGAAAATCGGGCCCTGCATAGTAGGCTGAGAAGCGCGTTCTGGCTACTAGGTACGACATATGTGAGAAAGCTGCATGAACGCGCATGCCATAGATCACTAAGAACTCTTTGACCTGGCCAGGATTCGAACCCATGCCGTCCAGGATCACCCCTAAACGTACACAGTACCGTGACCACCGCACCAATGATAGTCTATAAGGATTGGTCAGTCCTGGTGCTTATTAACTAAGCTCCCTGACTGATCAACCCCCGACGACACTCATGAATCCATTTGAGTACAGTTTTTCATCAAATTCTGGCGCATGCACGGGCCGCACTGAGTTTAATATGTGTGAGCATGAACGCGCAAGCAATAGATCACTAAGAACTCTTTGACCTGGCCAGGATTCGAACCCATGCCGTCCAGGATCACCCCTAAACGTACACAGTACCGTGACCACCGCACCAATGATAGTCTATAAGGATTGGTCAGTCCTGGTGCTTATTAACTAAGCTCCCTGACTGATCAACCCCCGACGACACTCATGAATCCATTTGAGTACAGTTTTTCATCAAATTCTGGCGCATGCACGGGCCGCACTGAGTTTAATATGTGTGAGCATGAACGCGCAAGCAATAGATCACTAAGAACTCTTTGACCCGGCCAGGATTCGAACCCATGCCGTTCAGGATCACCACTAAACGGTCACGGTACTGTGTACATTTAGGGGTGATCCTGGACGGCATGGGTTCGAATCCTGGCCAGGTCAAAGAGTTCTCAGTGATATATATATATATATATATATATATATATATATATATATATATATATATATATATATATATATATATATATATATATATATATATATATATATATATATATATATATATATATATATATATATATATATATATATATATATATATATATATATATATATATATATATATATATATATATATATATATATATATATATATATATATATATATATATATATATATATATATATATATATATATATATATATATATATATATATATATATATATATATATATATATATTATATATATATATATATATATATATATATATATATATATTTATATATGTGTGTGTGTGTGTGTATCACGAAAATAACCACGTGATTAAAAATTTGAGTGTCAGACCACGGAGGAAAATTGAAACAGGAATTTCCTTAAGTACTTTCGTATATTAATACATCTTCAGAAGTCATATATATATATGACTCCTTCTGACGATGTATTAATATACGAAAGTACTTAAGGAAATTCCTGTTTCAATTTTCCTCCGTGGTCTGACACTGTCATTATATATTATATATAATCATCGTGATTCCCAAGAGTTTGACAATTCAACGGTTTCAAACAGTTCTAAACTTGCTCCCAAGTGTTACACACTCAGCTCCTGGCCAGCTCACAAGTCCTCCAAACACAGTACTAATCCAACCAACCGGCTAAGACCACCACAGAACGAGAAACCTTGAAAAATGCAGAATAACACGCCTTATACCGGTCACTACCAAGCGACGTACCACTCAACACGACGGCTTGGTGGTCACTGGCGCGCTGGACGCTGGGGCGCTCGGGTCCAAGCCCTCGGGTCCGGGCAGTTGGGATTAATGATAACAACTTTACTATTATCTTACGAAAACCAGTGTTGAAAATAACAGTTTCATTTACAAAAAGTAAATTTTCATTAACAAAACTAACATTTTCATTTATAAACTTAAAAAAAAAAATCATTATTAGGAACCTTCAGTGCATAAAAAGTATTAATGCATGGCAATGATCAGCCTTAAATTTCATGTTTTCACATGACTTTTAGTCAGAGCTGATTTGTTTTTTTACTGAGGCTGGTATTTTCTCCCCTGATTCCATGTATGACTAATCATCCTGTGAGATGGAAATATTAGATGAACTTATAGATAGTTTTTTTATCTACACTATGTAATCCTTCTTATAGAATAGGGATAGCAGCACATACCTAAGGTAGTTGATAATAAAAACATAGTTGTAGTAGGAGAAGTGTATTAACGGTCAATGTAATTGTGAGGGGTATATAGTGAGTGCAATTAATGATGGCAACATATTCGCTGACGTCTGATTAGGATCTTTTATGATCTCTGTAATTCTATTTGCGCTGCCGCTCACAGGATGAGTGTGGGGTGCACAGTAAGCTACCACTCACAGGATGAGTGTGGGGGTGCACAGTAAGCTACCCCTCACAGGATGAGTGTGGGGTGCACAGTAAACTAACACTCACAGGATGAGTGTGGGGGTGCACAGTAAGCTACCCCTCACAGGATGAGTGTGGGGGTGCACAGTAAACTAACACTCACAGGATGAGTGTGGGGGTGCACAGTAAGCTACCCCTCACAGGATGAGTGTGGGGGTGCACAGTAAACTACCACTCACAGGATGAGTGTGGGGGTGCACAGTAAGCTACCCCTCACAGGATGAGTGTGGGGGTGCACAGTAAACTACCACTCACAGGATGAGTGTGGGGGTGCACAGTAAGCTACCCCTCACAGGATGAGTGTGGGGGTGCACAGTAAGCTACCCCTCACAGGATGAGTGTGGGGGTGCACAGTAAACTAACACTCACAGGATGAGTGTGGGGGTGCACAGTAAGCTACCCCTCACAGGATGAGTGTGGGGGTGCACAGTAAACTACCACTCACAGGATGAGTGTGGAGTGCACAGTAAACTACCACTTACAGCATGAGTGTGGAGTGCCCTGTAAACTACCACTTACAGCATGAGTGTGGAGTGCACAGTGAACTACCACTCACAGCATGAGTGTGGGGTACACAGTAAATTACTATTCAGAGCATGAGTGTGGGGTGTACAGTAAACTACCACTCACAGCATGAGTGTGGGGTACACAGTAAATTACTATTCAGAGCATGAGTGTGGGGTGTACAGTAAACTACCACTCACAGCATGAGTGTGGGGTGTACAGTAAACTACCACTCACAGCATGAGTGTGGGGTACACAGTAAACTAACACTCACAGCATGAGTGTGGGTGTACAGTAAACTAACACTCACAGCATGAGTGTGGGTGTACAGTAAACTAACACTCACAGGATGAGTGTGGGGTGCACAGTAAACTAACACTCACAGCATGAGTGTGAGGTGCACAGTAAACTAACACTCACAGCATGAGTGTGGGTGTGCAGTAAACTGCCACTCACATCATAAGTGTGTGTGCACAGTAAACTACCAACCACAGCATACGTGTGAGGTGCACAGTAAACTATATGCTTCTGGGTTACCAATGAAGAAAAATTGATCTTGTTAACACTTGACATCTTCACAAGAGAGGCAAAGAATGATTCCACCCGTCCCCCCTCAAAGGCAAGCTATCTCCCTCAGTGGTAACCTGTCACCCTCAAAGGGAGGAGTTTTTTCCTCTAACCACTAGAGCAACTTAGATCACATAGCACTACAGAGATGTTGTTGTTGTTTTAGATTCAGCGACTCCGACCAAAAAGTTCCAAGCAGCACGGGCACAGTAAAGTACCTAAACTAAACTACTAGACGGGCACAGTAAACTGGCAGGAGTATGGTGAGCCCTTCGTACTTACCTGGCACAGGCGATGTGGGTACTACCGAATATAACAATGGAAAACCCTTTTGAATTTTCAAGAAGCAGTAAATAGGACCTAGCAAATCGACGTTGTGTACATTTGAACCTGGGTGGAAATAAAGTTTTTGAAGAATAAACAACGAAGCCTAATAAAGCAAATTAAAAATTTTACTGGAAAATATACGTATAATTACTTTGTAGAGAAAAGGTCACAATAACGTAGTTGAAAATTAATAGCACAGCTCCCACACATATGAAAAGACAGTGTTGATGTTTGGGTCCGTCCTCAACTTGCTAAGGGTCAAGGACGAACCAAAACGTCGTCAAATTCCTTTCTTTTCATATATGCGAGTTAATCCAACAGGCAGAGTATGCTTGAACGACAATGCATCGACGTTAATTGAATGCTACATTAACGCTCGTGGCCACTCACGGTGTTTTGAGTACTCGGTAGCTATACTATATGTAAGTAAATTGGGCCATGTATCATGAAGCAATTACTCATCTATTTACGAAGCCTGTTTTATTTACCTCATAAGGTAAATAAAATAAGCATTCCTCAAATAAGTAGCTGCCTCACTGCTACATAGCCTTCCTGGCTTGGTGCCTTCTTTTGATAATTACTTACTTATTGTTACACACAGCCAAATTGTGTTACAGGAAGAGGTCTTGGACCCCTGCTTCCCCCCTCACTTTTTTAACAGGCCCTAATAGTCCATAGTCATAATTATAGGCCTAAGTATTCAATGACAAAAGATTTTGAAGTTTTTACCCTTACCCTTACCTAACATCATTTGTGCAGCATATTTTTTCTTTTATGTATCACCCAGATTCAATTTCAAAATAAAACCAAACAAGATAAATTTAAAATGGGTATGTATAGCTAAGGTACACCCCTAGCTATACTTATTGTTAGGTGAACAGGGGCATTTGGTGATAGTAAATGCTCCCACTGTGGGAACCGACCTGTGAGATTTATATTTATTTAATTTATATGAATTTATATAGACTATATTTACGTTAATTTGTATACTTCGATAGCAATTTGCATGATGTTAAGTGGACTGTATTTCTGCAATAATCTCACAAATCGATCCACTACACATTAGGAGGGGGGGTTTATATTGAATTTATATATATGCAGCCAATCAAACTACAGTATTAAACTACATATATTGAAGAGGTTCCTTATCTTATTTGTACAGCAGGCCTTAGTCCACCAGATATAACCAGGATGTAGACACCAAATTATCCTCTTTGAGGTAGCTTCCATCACCCTGGTAACTGATGCACAAAGCATGCTTCCTCGTCTTGACCTGTCAAAAGGGCGCTAGCTATGAAGCCAGAATATGACAGCTATATCAGAGAAAACACTGTACATTGAACCATAAAGACCAAGGCCTTTTTTTTTTTTTACCTTTTTTATGAGGCGATTTCGCATTCTAACCGGCTCGCCCTTATTTACCTAATATTTAACTGGCCAGAAATAATTAGATAAACGGGTTTCGGCAGAACACTTTCCTTGTATTTGATGACAGCGTGTTGATAATGGTAGACCTTTGGTTCTCATAACACTTCGTCCAAGAAAAATTAACAGGAGCCGAATTTACTCCCGTGTGCCTCGCTGGTCTTAAACAATAATAATGGCTGACCACTCCCTCACAACTGATGCCACTGGCCTACATTGTCCAGATATCAGAAAGTGATAGAAGGGTCACATTTACTCTATATTAATATTGATAATTAAGTTAATTTATATGAGATGTTTTTATGATGGTAAAGTCCAAAGACTAATGTATTTAAGAATAATTCCCAGCAGAATAGCTGGTGAATTTATAATAGTATGTGGCAATGATATCCCGTTTTTTATAGACGGAAAGTTCCACTACAAGTTACATTTTCTATGGGTAACTTGTGTATACAATACAGCAGCAATATTATCTGCCTGTATGAAAATATTAATTGGTGTCGGATTTTCCGACACCCACCAGCCCGGGATCATCACCTACTCTCATATTTCATGTTCTCCAGTGTTTATTTACTTAATAACTATAGTACTGGTATAATATCTTGCTATTATAAAACTAATTTTAATATCATAAAAGACATGTTTACTACAAGTGTCAAGCAGAGAAGGCATATATAGCTAACACGAAGGACTCCTTCTTGATGAGACTCGCCAGCTAAAATGTTTGTTTATAATAAAATCGATCCTCCGTGTTGTGTAGTAGAGAAAATTTAATTATATTCAGTTTACGAAAAGCTCGAGTGGTCGAGAGCGTCCTTAGCGCGACGGTGTTTACTTACGAAGATTTTCATGCCTAAATGCCTACCTGAATACCGGTGTAGCCGCTACGAAGATGCCAAGAAGAAAAACATTCGTAAGTACGTACGTAACTGTTTTGTGAATCTGGCCCCTGGCCCTCCAATATTTTCCCTGCACAGTATATATAATTTTGTATCTTGGTTGTGAGTACATATTGAGAGATTCGAGACTATATGTAAGCTTGGTGCCTCACACGTCAAGCCTGGCCCTTCACACGTCAAGCCTAGCCCCCTCACACGTTAAGCCTAGCCCTCTGACACGTTAAAACTGGCCCCCCCTCACACGTCAAGCCTGGCCCCTCACATGTCGAGCCTGGCAACCTCACATTGTCAAGTCTGGTCCCCCTCACACGTCAATCCTGGCCCCCTCACACGTTAAGCCTGACCTCTCACACGTCAAGCCTGGCGCCGGGCCGGGCTTGGGGAGTGAGTCTCCCAGAACCTCGTCCACGTACAGTCGTGCCGGATATGTTTTCTGTATTCCCCACTATTTCAGCACTCTCTCTCCTGCTCTGAAGGGTGAGTATAAGCAAGATTCAAAACGGGACAGCACAAGTGATTTCAATAGTATGAGTAGTAATATTTATGCTCGTTTTCTAGCTTTAGAAGGTAAAAGGCGGACTCTATTTTTTTAATCGATAAGT